TCTCTTAATTCAACTCCAACTGCATTTCAAACATTAGAAGTGGCATGACAGAGAAACAACTTCTAGCTACAGTATGGCAGCAAATACCTGCAGAAGCCACATAATAATGGAAGACAAGGCCTTCCCACTGTATGCTAAAATAGAAGTTAATATTAGTGATTGTTACCTTGTCTACTGGAAGTTTTAGAAGACAATACAGTACTAGACATTTAGATACCCAAACACTTGACTGAGTTTAGAGTTAGTCAGTAGAAGAACTGGTTTTCCTAGAATTTGTGAGTCCAGACTGAAAGTTATTCCATCGCCCGCACCAAGTTCATCAATATAGTATACCAAATGAGACTGATCAAGCCATAAACAATATAATTGGAATAAGCATATGAACAAAATATGATTGGAATAATCATAAGTGGGCAACAAAGTAGACATGACTCAACAATAAAATGTAAAAATTGCAAATTTGTTAAGAGAACTAGCACTTAAGACTATTTTTTGTTACATACTGGAAACCATGAATTACAAAGAGATTCATGTGATAATTCTTCACCTCTAGTTTACTTTGCAGTATGTTAAAAATTAATAAACATTCATTTTTTACCAAGTGAAAGTATTTGATACAATGTTTTGTTAGACCATTTTAGGAAATGGTCATGTAGGAAAGTTAGTAGGTGACATAGTTTTTTAAAGAAGGAAAGAACATTCTAGTTTAGGATTTTATGTCAGAGAAGAACTACTAATAATAACTACACATGCAAAGAAGATGCCTTGGGGAATAGGATTTTAGTAGAAACCCAAAGGTTTATACAAATGCATGTATGTTTTTAGAAACACATACACACAAACACATATTCAGGGAGAAAAAAACAAAACAATGACCTAAAGCAAGAAAGAATTACTACTAAGGAGTATAGTTCTAGGTATAGGAAAGTGAGATTTAAATTTTATGACATTACATATCCGAGTTACAACAATATATTTCTATTTTCTAACTTATTCAAAGAAATTTCTCAGGAAAGTTCTAGTTACAGTATACCCAGAGAAGAGCCAAATTACTGTCTATCTACTTATTTATTTTTGCGGTACTAAGGATTGAAGCCAGGTTATTCTACCACTGAGCCACATCCCCTGACCTGGTGTATTTTATTTTGAGAAAGGGTATCACTAAGTTGCTGAGGATGGCCTCGAACTTGCCATCCTCCTGCCTCAATCTCCTGAGTTGCTGGGCTTATAGCTAATGCCAAAGGGCCCAGCCTACCTTTCATTTAGTTCAATTAATCTCCACCTTCTTGCCACATTAGTCTTTCCTTCTTTCCAAATTGGTTTTTCTCCTTTCTTTCTCTCTTTTGTGTTTATATATATACATACACATATAATTATTTTTGGCTAAACCATTTGAAAGTTGTACAAATTGGATCTCCTAAGAACAATGACATTCTCCTACACATTCAGGGTATTAACACTGACATTTAATATAACTTATAATACATATTTATGTTTTATCATTTGTCTCTAAAGTGCCCAAGAAAATCTTTGGCTATTTCTGCTATTTTTTTTCTTTTTTCAATTTAAGGTATATTTAGTCTTCATTTTCCTTTCTCATATAACAATTCTACAGCTTTGTTTAATTTTTTAAATTACTGACATTTTGGAAGACTCCAAGTCACTTGTTTTTCAGAATATTCCTCAATTTGAATATATCTGGTTAATTCCTTAATATTAAAGTTAAATGGTATTGGCGGGAATATGACAAGTGGAATTTTTTTCCTTCTATGGTGCATTAAATTATAGGAAACACAAGGTTAGACTGTCCTTTATTAGTGCTGTGAAGTTAAATATTTTGGTTAAGAGGATATCTGCCAGATTTCTTCATTTTAAAGGTATTTTTTCCTCCCTGATAAAAAAGAAATATGTGAGGTGAGACTTTTGAGATCATGTGAATAGACTAATACTAAAAATTGTTCACCAATAATTTTAGCATCAACTGGTGACTTGTTGAATCAATTATTACAATTGTTGCAAATAAAGGTGATTTACTACTTCCGTTATTCTTTCTACATTTAATAGCTGGCATTCTTCTGTTTAGAAGAAATTTTCCTTTTTCCCCTTATTTCTATTTATCTAAATATATTTGGATTACTATTTTTAATTCATTTAGCTATAATTCGTTACTGTCATTATTTATTTTGATACTCCAAAATTAATGAACTATTTCAAAACAGAAGTCAGTAATATTTCCAATAGTAAAACACTATTCACAAATCAGGAATAAAATAAGGATATTAAATAATCACTATAATTTATAATGATCTTGAATATTTTTTCAAATTGAAAAGGACATAAACAACGAACTAATATTAGATGGTGACAAATATTATGATAAAATGATTGTACACTATAAAATCTAAAAAAATATGCTCAGAAATTATAGAATTGATGATTTAATATTTTCATTTAAATATCCTAAAGCAACACCATTAAGTAACAACTAGGTAGAAAATAAAAAAGTGGTAGATAATACATTTCAAACAAAAAGGAAAAGTTGCATTATTTCGACTGCTATTTATTCAGAGATGCATCAAATATTTATTAAGACAAACATTAACTTAATTGAGTGAATTAAACAATAACTTGAATAAATGGAGAAAAAATCATAGTCATGAACGTGTGTCCACAGTATTAATAAATTTTCAGTATGTTAAACATGTTTTCATCTCCATTCCTTCTTGAAACACTATTTCAATGACAATAAATACATTTAAGTATTTTTAAAAATTATAACACAAAGAAAATAACAACAAAGTTGTGAGACAAAAACATAAAAGATGTCAACAGAATTTTAGAATTTGGATAGATTACAGATAACCTCAGGGGGTGATAAAGATGAGAGTGAAGGGTGTTAGGGAGAGAGACAACATAAGGGAAAGAGAGGGAGAGAGAGAGGAATGGAAACTGGGAGGGAGGAAACTAAGAGAAAGAAGGAGGTAAAGGAAGGGAAGGAAAGAAAGAAGAAAGGGAAGGCCAGACAGATGCTAAAGGGGAGAGGAAAAGGGAAAAAGAAGAGGGGGGAGGAAGGGGGGAGAGAGAGAGAGAGAGAGAGAGAGAGAGAGAGAGAGAGAGAGAGAGAGAGAGAGAGAGAGAGAAACCTGGGAGCAGGGGAGAGACCAATAAGAAGCAAAACCTCAGTAAAACTCAAGAATTGTATTTCTGGATAGAGAGGTGTGGGGAAAGACTTCAAATGGAAGGATTTGGTAGTGGGAGTGAACACATTTAGTCCCAACTACTCTTTGGAGACAGGCAACTGGTTTTTTAGATGACTAAACTTTTATTCTCTAGTAAGCTGAAATCAGGGCAGGCTTGGACTTAGATGCCAAAAAGAGCTGAGAGTAAGGTAAGGTACCTTGTATAAAAAGTGGGATTAAGTAAGGTTTATGATACCACCATTCTGCATGAAAAGAAACTCCCAGAGTACAAAAAAGATTTATCAGAAGCTATTAAAATAGTATACATTTAGAAAATGAGGGTCAAAATATAATGGTGAAGAACTCTCTCACAAGGTAGAACAAAATGACAGAGAAATGAATGATAGATAAAGACAATTAGAGGACTAGTCTAGGAGGATCAACATCCAATTAAGTACATAAGGATGCTGCTGCATCACTAATACTAACATTAGAAGACAAATACAGTAATTAAAAATAAATAAAGGGCTGGGGACATAGCTCAATTGGTAGAGTGCTTGCCTTGCATGCACAAGGCCCTGGGGTTCAATCCTCAGCACCACCACAAAACAAACAAACAAAAATACATTAAATTCATTTTCACATAAAATATTTATATAGTACCCAGACCAAAATATGAAAATTGAACAGAAAGGTGTATCATTTAGAAAGTATAGCACACTAAGAAAAACAGAGATCCTAAAAACTTCCAGAGATTGGATGGGGGAACTCTTATGTACAAAAAAAGAATCTGAAATATGCTGACTGGTCTTCTTAACAACAATACTGTAAAGTAAAAACCAAGGGTCTAAAAAATTCCAAAGTGGGTATGGAAACCAAAAAACAGAATTAATATACATTAATTTCTATTCCTGTTAACATGTGCTATTAACATTTACAGAATAGCTTTAGAAATGCTAGCAGAAAAGAGACAGACAAATTGTAAAACAATCAGGCAAACTTGGATTGATTTCTGGCTCAATCTCTCATTAGCTATGTAACCAATGAATCACTTAGCTTTTTAAAATCCAGTTACATTCACTGAGTTGGGTTCATCTCACCATGAATTAGAGGTTAATAATGCGTAACTCATAAAGCTATTCTAAGAATTAAATGTGCTAGCTTTTGTGAAGCAACAGAAAAGTACCTGATAAATTAAAACTGTTAAAATTATCTTCAGATGCCAGACATGGTGGTTCACGCCTGTAATCTCAGTAACTTGGGAGGATGAGGCAGTAGAAAGAATCTCAAGTTCCAGACAAGCCTCAGGAACTTAGTGAGGCCCTGACTCAAATTAAAAGGGCTGGGAATGTGGTTCTGTGTTTAAGCATTCCTGGGTTCAATTCCCAGTGCCAACAATAACAACAACAAACCCTTCAGAATTATCATTTCTATTATTTAACTGGTGTGCTTTCTATGCTTAAAATATAAACATTTAAACAATTACTGGAAATATATATTAATCTTCAGTAACTTAAGAAAGTAAAATATAATGTGGTAAGCAATTGTAAATTATTATTTTTCTAATTTAATAGCATGCTATTTGTTGAAAATATAAAAAAGAAAAAAAAATGTTTAAAAATTATATGACCTTCTTTCCCAAGAGATACTACCTTTGACCTTTTCAAAAAATGCACAGCTTTATTTAAGTATAACTGATACACAGAAAACCATACATTTTTAATGTATATAATTTGCTAACCTCTGAGAAGGTTATAATCAATGCTTTTTAAAAAGTTTGACTATGGGCTGGGGATGTGGCTCAAGTGGTAGCGCGCTCACCTGGCATTCGTGCGGCCCGGGTTCGATCCTCAGCACCACATACAAACAAAGATGTTGTGTCTGCCGAAAACTAAAAAATAAATATTAAAAAAAAAAAGTCTGACTATGTATTTTAGTTTAAATCAGCTTTAACATGAACTATTTTTATGTCATAACTATATTCCAACACATCTTTTACAATTTCTATCTAGCATTTCATTACATGGATATGCCACTTTTAACTCAAGTCATTCTCTTATTGTGAGACAATTACATCCTTCCAATACTCTAATTTTCTATAAAGTAATACAAGATCACTCTTATTATTAAAACTCAATGTATACCTTTATTTTTATAAATTATTATAATTGAAATTTACATCTCATGAAAATTATTTAGGTTTATATGTAAATATACATATATGTATGTATATGAACAAACAAATATATAAAAATAGCTCTGCATAGGAGCTGTGGCAATTAACATTCTTGCCAGTAAAAAATATGAATGCATCTGAATTCTTAATTGTTTCTCAATATTGGCTTTTAAATAGTTTGTTTCCTTTTGTTCTTTTCTATTTGATAAAAAAAATGCTATTGTATTAGCACTAAAATCATATGTATATTTTGAATGAGTTGCTCAAATAAAGAGAAATATAAATTTCTGCAGAAATATAAATTTGGAAGAGTCTGCTTATATCTATTGTCTAGCTCCTTCTTTAGATACATGGTCAGAATCAATTTTGAATTTTTGCCGCAGCCCGGCTGGCTGGGCAAACTAACGGGGGGGGGGGGGGGGGGGGGGTGACGAACAACTTGTGTACATTGATACAGCAGGAGTGAGAGCCCTTTATTGTAGGACAGGAGGGGTATATATACATTACACACAGCTTATCTTAATTAACATAAACTAGATACAGCAGTCAACCAATAAGGAATCTCCACACTTAATGGCTCGCTGGCATTACTTCACAAACGACTCCCTCTGGCAAAATGCCAGGCGCCATCTTGACTTGTTTACAGACCCTAACAAATTTTGGTCTTGGTTTTGGAATTTACAAGCTGTACAATGAACTTTTATTTCTTGTAACTTGAGTACTAATTAAAATTAACTAAAATACCAGATAAAAATCTCTCTTAAATATACCTGTGAGCTAATGAAAGAAGTAGAGAATACCAAGGACACAATTAAGTAAAAACCTGTTTTTTAAATGCTTACATGAAGATCATAAATTTGTTATTACCTTGAGGATATGTGCTGAATCAGTTAAACTTGAGTATTAATTTTTCTTGCCTCAAAAGGTGGAACATGTAAAACCAAGTCTTCCACAGAGGTGGGACCAGAAAATGTTTCCACTTAGGGTAATAGTAAGCTGGCACAACAATGCTGACCATAACGAAAATAGGAAAACACTTACAAAAGTTACTATATTCTAAATACTTCAAAGATATCAATTTAATCCTGAGAAAAGGGCATTTTAAAAGCACCATTATAATTCTCGACTTCGGAATCAAGTCAGTGAAGTGCAGAAAGGTTAAGTAATTTACTCTAGTCCAAAATGCAAATTCTGACAGTCTGTGTTTACAGACTAGTCTTTTAAGATAATGCAATACTACCTGTAACCCACTTCCTGTCTCCTGTTCCCTGCCCTTTTCCCTACAGAACATGCAAAGAAAACTGCCTGCACAGAACTTTGGCACAAAGTGGATGAGAAAAGTAAATCCCCTCTTGTGAATTTATAATCACAAGATAGCAGTGAAGTTTGTAGTCTCAATCCGTACTACTTGTTCAGGCCACAAAATCTTAAGCCAAGAATTCAAAGTGGCACTATACTAACAGTTATATTAATACTGTTCTCAAGTATCTGATAGAAACAAACACAATATTCTCTTGAAAATTCCACATTTATCACAGGTATAAGAATATGTTCTCAAAAAAAAATGAGAAGCTCAAGATAGAAAAAAATAATTTAAATTGATTAATATGATACTGTTAAACAAATAAACAGCAGAAATCACTAAGAAACTGGCAAGTATTAGAATTATTATACACTACACACTATACATACACTATAAATATGATTAATGGTTTAAGAAATAAAAGGCTTAACAACATAAAAAGAACATGAATTCAGAAAGAAGAAAATTTCTTAAACTGTGAAGGATGTGATCATTAAAGCAAAGCAAAACAAAACAATGAATAGGGCGAACAGTAACTTCAATGTAGCTGAAAAGAGAATTTTAATTCTGAACTGAAATGGAGAAGTTAATAAATCTTGCTAAATAGAATCCTGAGAGGTAAACAGACATGTAAAGTAACATGAGAGGATCTTACATATACTTGAATTAGAATTCTAACAAAACTAAAGGATATACTGCAAATTTTCCATATCTGGTTAAAAAAATAACCTCAACCAAACATTCAAGAATTCCAATGAATCCCACCAGAATAAATAAATATACTGAAATGTACAGAAAAATGAAAGAAAAGAACAAGATCTTTCAAAAAGCAAATATTCCAAGAGCTGAAAAATTACATTCAAAGGACTGAGAGACTAATAACTAAATTCTTGAAGGAAATAACAAAAGCCAGAACAAAGTGAAATTAATATCTTCAATGCACTAAAAGAAATTCACTCATCTACTAGAATTCTATGCCAGGAAACAAATAACTTCTAGGAATAATAGTAAAATAAGGTTATTTAGAAATAAATAAAGACTGAAAGGCTTTATTATTTTAATATCCTCACTGAATATACTTTTAGGAAAAAAGAAAATAACAATAGGTGGAAGATGTGAAATGCAAGTGGAATGATGAGGGAGAAAAGATGGTGAAAATGTGGGTAAATATAAGCAACATGAACATTACAATTATAATTATGTAAGAAAATATAATTAAAAATGACAAAATTAAATATAGAGAAATACAAATTTGGGAAAGTATGGTCAGGTTAAAATGTTTTGTTTTAAGGTCTTTGTTTTGTTTGGTTAAACAGTAAGTAAATTGAAAAGTGCACATGAAAACATTTCTAGTGTAATCACCTAAAAATAGAGTGCACAAATTCCAAACTAGTAAAAACAAAAGAAGTGAATGGGGGGAAAAAAGAATAAGGAATAATATAAATGTCAGGCAATAAAGGAAAGAAAAAGAAATGGGAACTTAAAAACAAAAAAATATTAGATGTAAATGCAAATATAACAGTGATTAAAATAAATGTAAATATACTATATTATCCAGTGAAAAGATACAAACTGTGGAGTTGATTTTTAAAAGTTAGCTATGTTTTTTAAAACACATATATAACATAAATATAAGTTCAAGAAAGAAAAAGATATTCATTGCAAATATAACCCAAAATTACATAAATGTTAGTCAAAATAAATATTACTAGAAGATGATCATTAAAATGGATAAAAGCTTAATTTACCTAAAGGATATTATAATTTCCCATTTGTATACAACTAATATCCTCAAAATGCATACAAAACTGGACAAGTATAACTAAATAACAAATACCCCAAGATGAGAGACATTTTATACAGCACAGTAATTGAAAGGCAAAGAGACAATGTCAAAATGCATCTGCAACATCAATAGGAAAATGTTTATATTCAAGTACATTTCCAAAATGGAACACATGCTAAGTCTGATCATATACAAGGGTAAAAGTTAAGGCTCAACGATTTGTACTTGATATTACAAATAATACATTTACTAACAATGAGATTTAATTAAAATTCAACACAAAACAGTAAATGGAAATAATCCAATTGATCTGTAAATAAGAAGAATCCCTCAAAATAATTCAGAATGGGAATTGGAACTAAATATTCAGAACAAAATAATAACCATAATTTCAGTATGCTCTGTGGTGTATAGCAAAAACAACATTCGATGAGAACTTTATAACCTAAGTATCTACTATGGGAAAGAAGGATGAAAATTAATTCCCTGAGAATGCGGTAGAATAATTTTAAGGAAAAACAAAGTAAACTTTGAAAACCACAAGAAAGTAAACAGTTAAGAAGATAATGAATTATGGAGAAAAACTAAATAGAAGTAACAATAATGTTAAAATTATACCCTCCAAATTCTAAAGACATTTAGAAACTTCTGAAGAGATTTACTAAAAAGTAATAAGGAGGGAGAGGGAGAAAGGGAGGCATGCATGAAAAACTGATAACATCAGAAACTATGTAATTAGCAATGCTATAAAAATAAGAGATTATTAAAACAACTTCTTGCCAATATATCTGAAGATATAGATGAACAAATTCCTAGAAAAATGTAGCTTACTGAAACTTACTCATGATGAAGTAGAAAATTCTGATTAATTTTATTAAAGAAAATGAATCAATAGTAAAAATTATTGATACAAATCAAATTCTAGGCATAGCTATGCAATTTAGAATATTGTTTAATCTCCATGCTTCTTAGTTTATTTACTGATAAAATGGGATATTATGTATCCCATTGTATTACCTCAGAAACATTATGGTATCTCATAATCATTTAAAAAGTAGGAAGAGAATTTGTGAAGTGAAAGTGTTATGAAAACTATATAAATTGAATAATTTTAGATTTAAATCAGAAAGCCCTAAATCTAAACACAGATATCTAGTAAGGAATCTACCAAAAAGTCAAGTTTTCACCATAAGGCAAAACTTATTTAGCTCTTAGCATCCACTAAATAATTAAAGCCACATTCTTTGGGAAGAAAACTGGCCATATAATAAAGCTACTTTAAATCAAGAATGCTGAAAGAATTTTAAATGCCTATTTATAAATAGCCAATACTGTATGTTAAAATAACAATGACAAAGTCATAAAACTCATCTTTAATAACAAGCATTGTTTTCTATTGCAGTGGGCTAAAGATTCAAAGGAACAAAAGTAATATTGCAGGATGAGATGAAGAAGTATAAGAAAGGCACTTGGTTCAATATTTCATGGGTAATGAACTAGTGACCTTTTCCCTCTTGAAACACAATCTTCTAGGAATGTGTGCTTCATAAAATACCTATAAATTTATTCACTCTCATTTTTTCAAGTATGCATTCACTCAACAAAGATTTTAGTGCTACCAAGTAT